CAACACAAAATAACGATTCAAAAATATAATTTATCATGCATGAAAATGGGTTTTGCAACACAGATCAGTAATAACTGTTTATCAATATCATGAGGATTTAATTTGAGATCACATTCTTTTGAAGTATTGAATTCATGAAAGGATTTTGGCTTGGCCTTTGAAATTCATCATTACAGGCAGATTTATTTGATTGTTATGCATGCATTAAACACTACACATGCATTAAAAACACTACAATTATTTTTGAAAAATACACATGCAAAGTTTAACAAATTTTCTGTGCTTATCTGAATGTTCTGCATTCATTTTTAAATCTTTACTCCATTGCCAAATTGTATAATACTGTGATTATAAATATATGGTACTTGCACAATCCTTGCAATTATTGAAATCAAATTATATATATTTCGTCTCACACTATTCAATTTATTCTATTGACTTCAGATGTCAATGTCAAAATTCTGGAAGCTTTTTTAATCAAGAAATGGTAGTGGGCACACCGTGCATAAACAACTCATCTAACTTTTCAACAATAGTGATTATAAAATAAGGGAAAAAATGATATATCATTCCAACGATATTGCAACTATAGTATAATGTTACATATATCAAATATTCAGATTTTAACTTGATTTCCAAAATTATTCTAATTAAATTAATAAAATATGCTAATGATTTTTTACGTATAAATCCACTCGAGAAAAAAATCTGCCTTCACATTCAAACATCACTTGGCCGTACGTATTCCAAACCCTACCCCACTTTTCGAATTTTTGACGTCACGGAAATATCGACTAGTTTCACCTGGCAAGGCAAGACGCCTACCCCACTTTTGACTACTACGGCGCGCTTTCGAAAGAATTGTGCTGCTGAATAGTGTGTTTAGGTGCTAATTGTGAGATTTTCGCAATTTAAATTATTATGAGTGGGAATTTACGCAAAATCTTTAGTGAATGGTTATTGTTTAACGCCGTAGTAGTGTATTTGAGGAAAGAGGAGAATAATTAACAGTATGAAAATCTGGAAGGTGATACTCGGCAATAAATGTGCTGCATTTCATCGCAAAATTCAGCGACGCCAGTAAATAAACGAAAGTGTTCGAAAAACTTATCCACATCTGAAGCCACTATACAAAAAATTGTATGTGTGCCAATACAGCAATTTAAATTAAAAAAAAAAAAATTGCAGAAAACTTCAGATCAAGGAATAGAAGAATTGCAGTGCCTCTATGTGCTTAAAAACTACGAAGCATTCTGCAGACTTTCGTGCCAAAATCAAGGTTGACAAATAGATTAATACATTTTTATTTTCTTTTAGTGTATATATTTCAAAATTATTAAAATAACTTGAACAGTTGTTTAATTGCTTAAAACAGCAATAAAGTTCATTTATAAAGATATACAAGGAACTTCATAATTGCTTTGGTGAACAACTGAAATTTACTAAATTACCTAACTTTATAACATTAAATATCTTCGTAACTGTGTTATTATGCTCTGTTTTAAAAACTTCTAAAAGCTAACTAAAAAAGCTAAAACTTAACTACTTACTTTCTGTTATACAAAAAATTATCAGGATTACTAAATGTATTAAGAATTTCCATACATGCTTGTGCAGTGTGAATGCATGTTTGTGTAATGAACTTTGATTTTCATGAACGAAAAAGAAATACAATCTCCGAATAAGTACTTTTTTGTTTTCCAGTTCCTGTGTTTAGCTGTAAAAGTAAATTCACTTCAAGTATGTGTCTGTGCAATTTTGACGATGTAAATGCTGAAATGTATGTATAGTAAAAACTCAACAAAAAAAAATATCCGGAAAGCTCTTGAAATTTTGGATAGCCGAGCATATAAAAAATGAAATATTGTAATAAGTGAATGGAAGAATAAACTACTAGTCTAAAATCATAAAAACAGTTCATCTTATTTGTATCAACTTGACTATCAAAAGCCAATATTTAATATTATGCACGATTTTGAAAAAAAATGTATGCTGCTGATCTTTGGAATATGATAACGGGTGATTTTTACAATGGTTGTTATGTGGATTAAGACTGCAAGTTGAGACTTTAAATATGAACAATAGTAATCTGAAAATTTGAAGTAGTAATTTCATATCCAACAATCTCTGCCAAATAACTTCTATGTTTTAAGTAATTAAAAAATATATTTTTAACCACTTATTATTAATTTTATAAAGTACATTCTATAATTTAAATTTTATTTACTTTCATCTATTTTTAATGTTTGCCATTATAAATTTCATACTATGTACTTTTTTAAGATTTCATAGTTGCTAATTAAACATTTAGTTATTCTATACATATATTTATATTTTATGTAAGAAAGGGATTTATGTGCAACAGATATACAGTGAAAATCATTTAACACAAAACTGCAAGGACTGAAATATTTTTTGTGTTAAAGAATATTGAAAGGAAAAAAAAAGCATATATTCAACAAAATTAAGCTTTTTAAAGTACATTTTATTTACATAGATATGTATATATGTCATAATAAAAGCACAGGAAAAGACGGAGCACTATAGATGCGTGATTTGATCCATATTGAAGAAGAATTTTGATTGCGTAGTTAAAGAACTTGGCAATCCGGCAATTATATTTGTGGCCACAATCATTTGGCACTCTAGTCGTGCCTTTCCATAGAAGATTTACATTTTTAATATTGTTGGGATAGAAAGCAAGCCAGCGGAAATTCACATCTTAGCACAGTAAGCGAGCATAAAGCTGAAGTGCGTAGTTATGCAAGATGGAAGGCACTCGAAGAGAAACGTTTTGGTTTACAAGGACAGTTCAGTTCCCAATGATTACGCCATCAGAGCTGCGCCGATCATTGAGTGATCTAGAAATGACGCAATGCAAAGAAAATTATTACGATTTTAGAATAGAGAGGAAGAATTAATGTTTATAGTTTAATCTATAATTTTGATTCATATATTTTTATCTTACATATATATATATATATATAAGTGTATAAATATATTAACAGATGCAGTGAAAGAAATTGCAGTACATATATATTTATACCCTTTTTAAATCGATCTCACCAGCGGCCGGTAAAATCGCTGAACACTAGAAGTTCGGTCCAAGGTTGGAATCCCGCGAACGGGCTGGTTGCATGGACGTTTTCGTGGTTTTCCTCATGTGTTACGTGTATACGAGCTAGTTTTTCTTAGAATGTCCTCCACGAAGGCAACCCTCATTTTAGGCAGATAGCCTTCGAGGCTTTGCCGTAATTACATAAAACCAAAACTAAGCACTTTTTTCATCTGAATAAATATACACAAAACTGATGTAATATCTAAAGGTAGACCACATTAAAAAATCTCATAACTAATTATAAATCTTGCATTATAATATTGACAAGAATTTAACCGAAAATTATACAAGAATTTAATTTGTTTTATACAGGAGATTCTAGAAACTATTGAAAATTGACATTGATATCGGTACAGTTTTAAAAAAGTTAAAACTACTTAAATAAATTTTTTAATTCAAAGAATTTAAAAATGGACCGGAGTCTATTTAATTATTTCATTTTAATTCTAATTACATTTAAACACTAAATAAGAAATACATTTAAAATAATAAATTTTTTATATAAAATAAATTCATGTTATATATAATCCCTGACGATTGAAGGTTTTACTCTCTTTAGTGGCTATGGTGGTCGATGGTGGCTATGGTGGCGATGGTGTGTAAGGAAACTTGATGTCGGATGATATGTGCTGTGGAGTTGTTGTCGGAGCTGAGTTAAAATATGTAATAATTTCAGATTATTATGATTTTGAAATGTTTAGTCATGTCATATATTTTTTGTCTGTGATTTTATGATTCTACTTTTATAAAACGAAAGATATGCTTTTTATGATGGAGAAGTAAAAAAAAAATTTTTAAGTATGTAAAAACGGTTGTATTTTTAGAAGTACATATGAGTTTTGAACGGAAACAAACATCAGGGGGTGGGGTGTCGAAGGTGTGTTAGGAATCGGAGGATATGTGGATGTGTGTCGGGGAGTTGTTGTCGGAGATGAGTTAAAATATGTAATAATTTTCAGATTATTATGATTTTGAAATGTTTAGTCATGTCATATATTTTTTTTCTGTGATTTTATGATCCTACTTTTCTGAAACGAAAGATATGCTTTTATGATGTTTTGGTGTATATACATTGTTTTAATTCGGTATCGAGTTGACACGTTTATATATATAATGATGAGACGCTATGTGATAATAATTATTCGCTTCCCTTGGAAAAAGGAAGGAGGAAAAATCCATTTTAGAACTAGAGGAAAAAAAATGAGAACACACGTTCGAACGAATTTAGATTACAGGATGTTTTTTTGTTAAAAGGATGACAACTAGATTGGTGTGGTTCTTTATTAAGTCTATATGAGTATAATGACAGAATGATATATGGTATTTTTTTTACTTTCGGAAAAGAACAGAAAACGTTTTTAAAAGGAGGAAGGAAAAAGATTTAAAAAAGAATGAGGAAAAAAAAAAAAAAAAAACTCGAGAGAATTTAGATTACAGGAAGGAACGGTTCTTAATTTGTGATTGACATATGACATGATTTATTTTACTTATGGAAAAAGAGTAAAAAAAAAACTTTAAAAATAATAAAAAAGGAGGACGCACGTTTTTTTTTCCTAGAGAAATTAAAGATTGCAGGGGGAGCGCACACGTTATCAAAACAGATGAGTATTCCGAGGGCGGGAACATAAAAAGATGTGGAAACGAGGGTTGTTTTTTTCCTTCTTCCTTCTTTGAATGTGCCATCGAAGCTGCATAGAGGGAACGCGAATGGAGGTCGCAAAGAGGGAGAGGGGAGGGAACCTCAAGTATGGAAAACGAAAGCAGTTAGTTTTAGCGCGGGGGTCAATCTATTGGGTCGAATGCGAAAAAAATGTGGGTCACTGAATAAAGTTTAGCAACTCCTTTTTCTTGGTAATAGAAATAATATTGAGGGGGAAAAAAAGTAAGCATATAAATGTACTGGAGAGGCGATGAGGGAAATTAGGACACGAATAGCGTATTTAAAGAGAAAAATTCGCAACGAAAAACATATTCCTCCACTCGTTTGATTTGCAGTTCCTGACAGAATGGAAAGTTCAGCTTCGACGAGCAATGGTAAGACATTTTTTATTTTATGCTTTGCGCTATGTTTTTCAAAAAAACTATTTTTTTTTCTGCTCCCTAGAATTTCGTTCATAGTATGTGTAGTTTTAAATTATTTTTTTAGACTGCAAAGTGAAAAGACACATTAACTTGCTTGACGACGAAGATGTGGAATTGAATAATCCCCACCGTAAAAAAGCAAAGAGCTTCGATTTAGATTTAGCAAGCGAAGAGAAAAAAACCCTCTTCCCATCGTACTCAATACATCTTGGTCGTAATCTTGTCATGGAACTCAAGGAGTTCCGTGGATCTCATTACATCGGCTTATCCAGACAGACCTCCAATAACGACATCAAAAATCGGTTTAATATCCCCCTCGAAATGCTGGATACCTTGAAACAGGCCTGCGAGCACATGATCAATCACATTAAACGCAATCGAGTGGTTTAAAAAAAAACGCTTGTTTTTTAAATTTAATTGTATTATTTTTATTTTTTTCATTTTTCTTTTTTTGAAATCAGTGTGTTATTATGTATAAATGAATGTGTGTTATATATTTAACATTGACTACTTTTTTTTTAATTGTGTAGCATTTGTAAAGTACGTGTTGTTTAAAATTATTCAAAAAAAATGAATATGTCAATTTGAAGTAATTTAAAAAAAATCATATGAGGTTGTTATGTTCAGCACAACCTTTTTTTTTGTAACAATCCAAAATAATAGTTTCTAAAATCAGTATGCTAAATTTTAATGTGCACAGAAATGCCCATCGCGGCTTTGTGCGTTCGTATAGAGCTATTTGCAACAATTACAGAGATCCTCATCTACTATATCAGGACAGTCGACAAATAATTTTTTCATTATTAAGTAGTAGTAATATTCTTAGGTTAAGAATACTTATATGGTTAAGCATATTATTTAAGAAAGGCGATGGAGACAAAGAAACAGAAAAAAAGTTTCTATTTTTGCTCCAAATGTGAACGAATCCTAACACGAGGACAGATATTGATAGCGATTGACAATGCATTTCGAAAAATATTTCTAGGCATTGATAACTTTATTAGAAACGGTAGTGGATGGACAATAAAGCGTCTGAACTATATCGACATTCAAGTAGGCAATTTAAGAGAAATAAGAGGCGGATGTAAACACATAGAATTGCCAGCAAAAATTAGAAACAAAAAAGCGGTTTTAAACATTAATTGTTATGATAATAAATGCTTTTTGTATTCTGTTATCGCAAAACTATATCCAAGGAAACAGAATAAAAACACGTTAAATTATTATAAAAAATATTTGAGATGTCTTAAAATTAGCGGGATAAAATTTCCGATTTCCTTAAGTGGAATTCAAAAATTTGAAAAGTTAAATGATTTAAAAATTAATGTATTTGCGTTTGAAGAAAATGAAATCTTTCCTTTAAGTATAAGCAAACAAAAAAATATCGACTTAATGAAAGAAATTGATTTACTTTTTTTTGAAAATCATTTTTTTTAATCACAAACTTAAATAGATTATTAAATGTTCGTAAAGGTATTCATCACTATTGTAAAAACTGTTTGTTAGGGTTTCAGCGAAAATGCAGTTTAGAAACCCACATAAAATTGTGCGAAGGCAAAGAACCTCAGAAAGTAAGCATCCCTCAAAATTTAGTAGTTAAATTCACTGACTTGTCTAAACAATTTATATCATCCTTTTTGCATTTTTGCGGATTTCGAGTCTCTCACTAGAAAAGTTTCTTCAGCTTTTCCGTCTGAGTTTCAGAGTTTTTCAGTAGCAGTAGAACACCACGAACCTATCAGCTATGCAATTCTTGTCACAAACATTAACGATGAAATAATATTTACGGAATACTACTCCGGAAATAATGTCATTAATAACTTTCTAAAAACTTTGAAATACCTATCACATAAATTGTTACAGAAAATGAAAAGGATTCTACCGATGGTGGAAAGCTCTGAAACTTATGACAGAAACTGTTGTCACATATGTCAAAAGCAATTTTTACCAAACGAGATACGTGTTCGAGATCACTGCCACTGGAGCGATGGACATATACGCGGATTAGCACACCAGACATGCAATCTAAATTATAGATGTACATATTTTATTCCAGTGGTAATACATAATGCGCGTAATTACGATTCCCATTTAATTTTACGAAATATGCCGAAAGATGTTTTCAAATGCATTAATATCACACCAGTAAATTTGGAAAAATTTACTATGTTTACTCTAGACGAAATCAAATTTTTGGATTCTTATCAATTTTTAGACGCTTCGCTAGATACATTAGTTGAGAACTTAAAAAAGTCCGAACACAAGTTCGAGATTTTTAATAGTTTTTTCAAAGATGAAACAAACAGATTTTTACTGCTGAGGAAAGGAGTATTCCCATACAGTTATCTGGATTCAGAAGCGGTTTTAAAGGAAACCTGCTTACCAGATAAAAGTGCTTTTTTTTAATATTTTAACAAATAACCATATAACAGATGATGAATATGAACATGCACAACTCGTGTACAAAACATTTCACTGTGAAACAATAGGAGATTATTTAGAGCTTTATCAAAATGTTGATACTGTTCTACTAGCCGAAATATTTTCGGCCTTTCGCCGAATGTCCATGACGTACTATAATTTGGATCCCCTCCATTTCGTGACAGGAGCGGATCTCACATGGAATGCGGGATTGAAATATACAAAAGTAGAATTACAGCTATTCAGCAATGCCAACGATTACATGTGGATAGAATCACAAATGCGTGGGGGGATTTGTTTATTAGGCAAGCGACATGTAGTGGCTAATAATCCGTATACTTCAGATTATGACCCGAACAAACCACATAATTAATTATATTTTAGCACTTGATGCTAACAATTTGTATGGATATGTCATGAGTCAGTCGCTACCATATGGACATTTCACATGGTTGACGACTGACGAAGTACGACATTTCGATATTTTGAACATCGATCCTAATTCAAGCGTTGGATATATTTTAGAGGTAGATCTCCTATATCCACCTGAATTGCATGATATCCACAATGATTTTCCGTTGGCCCCAGAACATTTAACAATAACATATGACATGTTGTCTCCATATGCGAAAAAGATGTGCGACAAATTAAACATGAAAAGTGTTTTACCCTGCAAAAAATTGACACCGAATTTTTTCGAAAAGAAAAATTATATATGTCATTATTTAAACTTAAAATTTTATCTTGAACAAGGACTTGTTCTACAAAAGATACATAAGATTTTGGCTTTTTCCCAATGCAAATGGTTAGAAAGCTATATAGCTTTTAATAACGATAAAAGAACGGCATCCGAAAATGATTTTGAAAAATCTTTCTTTAAAAAAATGAATAATAGTTTTTATGGCAAAACATGTCAAAACGTAAGAAAGCGTGTTAATGTTAAAGCGGCCTTAAATGAAATTCAGAGCAAAAAATACTTGCAAAGTCCCTTACTGGATTATTTTGAAGTGATAAATGAAAATTTATCATTATATAAAATGAAAAAACAAAATTTGTGTTTAGATAAACCAATTTATGTGGGTTTCACTGTGTTAGAATTGTCGAAATTGCATATGTATAATTTATATTATAAGTATTTTAAGAGCGTGTACAATGATAAATGCGAATTGATTTATACTGATACTGACTCATTATATATGAATATTGAAACTCACGATATTTTTAATGACATGAAAAAGTATTTCAATGAAATTTTAGATTGTAGTAATTTCGAAAAACATCATTTAATGTACAGTATAAATAATAAAGGCAAATTAGGGTTTTTGAAAAATGAAAACAATTTACCCATCAAAGAATTTGTGGGGTTAAAGTGCAAAATGTATGCATTCTCTTTCGGAAATACATGTAAAAAAAAGTTAAAAGGAATTAAAAAAGCTAGTGTCGCAGATCTGACCACTGAGTCATATAAAAAGATTTTGTATGATGAAACATTAATGAGACAGTATCAATATACAATTACTTCCAAAAAGCATGATATATGCACTGTTCTTCAAAACAAAGTAGGATTGTCGCCATTTTACGACAAGAAGTTCTTAAAAGCAGACGGCATAAATGCCAATTGCTATGGTCATCATAAAAATCTGCTTTTAGAAGATGAATGTATAGAAAACACATTTTAATATGTAATTATTTTTATATAAACAGCAGTCATTTCAAGAAAATTGAAAAAACTGTTTCATGTATTTTTTTTTCCTCTACTTAGAATATAAAAAACAACGAAATGTTGTTCCACGTCGATTATTCGACCCCGAATTTCTTACATCATGTAAAAGAAAGAATCTCACTACGAAAGAACTAATCAATATATTTGCCAATGGATTTTATCCACTCCAGTGAAAAACAGGCTACACACAATATGTTTTTTTAATAATTTTTTTGTATGTATATTTTTGAATGCTATGTTTTTTCATGTTATTTTATGTTATTCATATTCTGTTATTATGTATTTTGATTTGTATAGTTACTTTTTTCATGTAAACTAGTTTTTACGATAAAAGTGAAAAAAAAAAAAAAAAAAAAAAAAAAATGGCAAGCCCCTCAAGGGCTTGCATATTCACGATGAAGAGCAATCTGTCGAAATATATATCAGATGCTTTTTAACGTGAGTATGCCAGACAGAGGGAAAAGATATGGTATGAAACTTATAGTATAATTTGTATATTTTTAAAAAATATCTAGTCTGTGTGATTATAAAATAAGAGTGAGTAAAAAACATGTTTTGTTAAATATACTTTTTTTTTTTTATTTATTGCAGAAAAAAAAAGAGATTACATAGTTTTTTTTTTTTAACATAATAATTGTTTACAAATGAAGTTCCCGAATAACTTCGTCGTCGGGAAGGATGATGAAGTATCCAATCTTCTTTTTAGTGCAAGGAACTGAACTGTATCTGGAACATCTTCACCGCCGCGTATATTTTGTTTCCCCATCATCACACAGTCAAATAAATTGTTAAACAAATTTAGTGATGAGTCATGCAATAACATTTTATCGCAGGAGAGTTGTAGTAGTAAATATCCATATTCATTTGCTTTCGAATGAGCATGAATGTGATTCATCACTTCCGAATTGTTCAAAATTTTAAAATAGCATCGTTTTCCAATCATTTCATTTTCAATTGAATTCCTGATACAGCTAGTAATATCTTTAAATAAAACATTATGCACATAATAATATTCTGTGCCATTGGAATCAAACAACAGATATCCGTAACGTTCCATGTTTCGTCGATGAACTAATGTTTGGTGGCTTTGCTCATATATATAAGCGCAGTACAACGTTGATTTCCCCAATGAAATGTGTGGTGGCAACATCTATTCAGTTTAAAATTTTTCTTCACGAATAGTTTGATAAATTTTTCATTTCTTCTTGTATTTCTTTTGTTAAGATCCTTTAATGTCAAATTTCTTGAATACTGATATAAAAAATAAAGCGTAAAGTAACCGCACGAGGAAGAAAAATTATTCTGAAAGCAAAACTTGTTATAAAATACTTTTTGAGAATTTTGATTCAAAAATCGCAGGATGTTTTT